CCCCACCCCACGCCACCCCCCCCCAACCCACCCACCCCACCCCACCCACCCCGGCTGCGGGTCTGTAAATATTACACCCAATGCATTATATTTTTTTGTTATTGAATTCCAATTCAAAGAGATAAAACCTACTCCCTTCTCCTATCGGCCTAACTAGTTGATCGGCTGGGCTAGTCGGCAAATTAGTATTTGCCTTTGTTTTATATTTACTATATAGAATAGTAAAGACTATAAATTCTGTAGGATCTTGAGTCTTCTGAATAAGGTTGATGGCTTCAACCCGGTGACTTGGCACTGCTGCCGATCTAGCGGAGATAGTCACTTCCAGCACTTCCTACTTCTTCCATTATTACCGTGTTGCGTTAGTTGTGCTGGGCCCCGTAACTCGGAAAGCATTGCGCATTGCGACCGAGCGCAATCGTATCGATATCATAACTCGCCCATACTCGCCCGCTATAGTACATGGTAGCCTCTTTGTGATAGCATTATTAGCAATACGCGATGCTTTCGATTTACGCAGCCCAGAGCTGGTGGTTGTGTGGTAGTTTATGTGGTCATTACCTGATGATGTTGCATCCAACTTAAATAGAATATCCATATAGATCCGTCACATGTACTTATCTGTGGAAGACAAATATAGACAATGTAGCCTATTTAAATATGCAGAGGTTATTTAATCATTAAAATGCCTCGATGAATAAACATAAACAATATATGTAAAATGATTTATCAAAAAGACACCATAAATGCGTCATTCTACCTCTACTTAAAAAAGATCTGATGATCGGATATAAATATCCTGAAAATCAGATTGTTTTTTTTTAATATGGTCAATTATATTATTTGTAAAACATTCTCCAGTAATTTATGTACATCAGTTGTTGTTTAATGCATAAGTATCAAAATAAATATCTGATTAAATAACTTATAAATGTTATATGCAGTAGATTACATAAAAATCCGAACTGAAACATTTGTTCACAAATGATCAAACAATCCATCAGCTTTATTAACTAAATATTTGCATTTATCGAGAACTTGAGTCTAAACATGACACATTTCTTATTTAAAAGATCAGTTATCTCTCACATATTTTTTTTAAAGTTTCACGTTGGCACTATTTGTCTTCTTCTACAAACTCACCTCGTTCTTAATGAAATAAAAAAGGAAGGATTGGATATTTATACAAATTAAATCTGCCTTTCGCTCATGGGCACATTAAACGGGCATTTACAGCAGATATATATAACCAACGCTTCTTTTGGCACTTCATGTGATAAAAATAGTACTGAATCAAATTTCCGTCAGGTTTTATAGTATTCCATACCTTCTCTATCAACCTACATGTACATGTAGATACTTCGAATGCAATGTACCCCCCCCCCTTTTTTTTTTTTTTTTTTTTTTTTTTTTTTTTTTTTTTTTTTGAATTGGCGCTTGCCAGGCTTCCGGTAAATGCTTAAGAAGACGGGATTATTTCTTCATTGTCTTACTCATTAATGAAGAGCTTTGTTAAATGTTAACCAGCAGAACATCCGCCAACCGCAGAGAAAAAGTGAAAACAGCCGACTTCAGGTGGGTGGGCATGTGCAGACGACACACAGATCAAAGCGTCAAATCCCGTCAAAGGTCGATCGCCTGCTGAGAAAACACGACAGCTTGAATAAATTCAACAACATTCTTCTTACTGAAACTCGATTTACTTGCTGACACTTTGAAGGCTTGGTACCAATCAAAGAACCTTCTCTGTGCTCAGTTAATTTTACTTACACCACTCAGTATGTCAGTCTGTTTTTGTCGTTTATTTGCTTTTGAAGAGAAATTCAGTCTTGAATATGATATTGTAGTGCATTGCTACTAAAGATATCAGAGCGTGTATGTTTATGGGTTTTCGAACTTATTGTTAAAGTATTATTTTTATCGCTGTTAATATACCGTTGTTTATGAAACTCGCAGTTAAGGACTCCAAGATTCTGAAACGACCAAAATTCTAAAAAGCATGTAGATGCAGAAGTAAGAAACGAAAATATTTCTTGAGTTAGCGAAAAAAAGATAATTAAATGGCGAATTGAAGTGTAATCTAATTGTTAAATCCAGCGGTCTAATCAAAGGAGACAGCCGGTTAATGTTGCTGCAATCTCACAGCTTCAGCTCGGTGAAATCATGTCGAAGATTAATAGAGCGCTCTTCACAGGAATCACTTTTATCAAAGCAATTGACACTTTAGGAAAACAATTAAATCGATGAGTTTGAAGTAGATCCAGGTGCCCTCGCAGCAACGCTGGATCGCCCACGTCATTCTGCTCAGAGTGCGTTTTGCATACTCTTTACGAGAACTCTGGTATCAAACAGGGTCTTAAACGCCGAAGTTTATACGACTAAGTATTCGTCGGCTGCACGTGCTGTTAAGAGATCCGATAACAGGTGAATTATCAATAGAAGACCAGAATCAGCAGGATGGATCTCGGCATCAGCAAGATATAAACCTTTTACAGGCCGATTATCCGAAAGAGAAAATAAAAAGAGCGATGCAGTAGTTAATTATGTTGCCACGTGTAAATTTAGTAAAAGGAGTCCCGATGCCGCTTTGACATCATGTCCATTTATCAGCAAAATGAGCCTTCCTATCACGCCCAGAGTCAACTCTGCTCCGTGCGCTATCTCTAGTCAAGCGAATTAATGATATCAAACTTTAATTGCTACTCATTGAAGATCGATTCTTCTGTCGAATCTCGCCACTCCGCTTATCCCACAATTATAACTTGGGGATCAGGAGGTTGTCATCTTAAAGTAATAAATTGAGGGATGTTTGATACCCCAACGTCGCACGCAGCAAGGAATAAAACTAATTGGAAGAGACTGGTGACAGACGCCGATGACAACAATTTTAATGGAGTTTCCAGAACTAATAGAATAATAAAATGTTTTAGCACGGCTTGAAAACTGTAATGTCAGTGGAAATTAAGCAAATGATTCTCCAGCTACCCGCTGTTCCACTCCGCATCTTGTTTGCGAAATACCTTTTCGTTTTTGTTGGAGCTATTTCTTACAGAAAGTTTGAAACTGGGAGCTAGTAAAGGGATCTTATTTATGAGACCCAGCAAATGCACTGCAGTGCACCGGCATCCAGAATTGGTTTTTTGATTTGTCGTTGAACCGACAGACTTAATCACTTTGTTCAAATAGAGTGTGTAGTGAAAAGTCCATGCATAGATAGGAGTGGATAAGAAAAGTCTACCGATTAACTGCGCCTGTACTCCACTGTGTGTGTGTGTGCGTGTGTGTGTGTGTGTGTGAGAGAGAGAGAGAGAGAGAGAGAGAGAGAGGGAGAGAGAGAGAGAGAGAGAAAGTGAGATAGGGAGGAGGGGGTGCAAATATTTTTTTACGCTACATAAGTTTATTTTAATGTTATTTTGACGAATCAACCAACCATAGTAAGCGATACATAAATTGATAGGCAAGCTTACATTTTGGACTTCTTTATATGGATAATAATTTTTTACTCTGTCAGTGGAGAATAATGTTTAATATGAAGCCCTACCATAAACTTTGCGAGATTATATTATGAAAAGAGAATAGCCGAACGAACTGAATATAACTGATTATTAGGTAGACTGCAGCAAGTCCTATACAAAGATAAGTCCTGCTGACAATTAGAATTAATTCAAATGGCTGCGACTATTTGAATAAGTGAAGAGAGGAAAACTAAAACAGGATTTGAAACTCTACGGCATCCCACCTTAAGTAATAATAAAAATGATGATTTATATTAACAAAAAGGACAATTTAATATGAATAGAATAATCTACGTAAGAATCTCTCTCTCTCTCTCTCTCTCTCTCACACACACACACACACACACACACACACACACACTAGTAGTGATTGCCACAACTCTGACACCTGTTCTGCATTATAGAGGAAAGCTCGGGCCAGTGGCGCTTAATGATCAATTAGCGGGATGGTAAGTTATTCTTAATCTAGGACCCAATTCTAGCTTCAAGAACGAGCATTAGTATTATAGAAAGAGAACTCTTTGTCAGATATTTCCATTGTGATTATTTCAGTTTGAACTTCGCCCCAGCATGTATCTGGCAAGAGTCATTAGGTTGCAAAAACACAAGACTCCTGATTGTACCCCAAGCTTTATTAGCTTTAACGTTTGGCTGACTTGATAAAGCTCACATTCACCGCTACAAGGAGTAATTTGGCTGGAAGTCAAGAATGATTTCATTTTTTCGCTGTAACACTGAACGGGATTCCGGAGGACTAGGTTTAATAGCCGTGTTTGCAGGTTTCCAACTCGATGAATGCTGTTACTGCGCCTTTCTTATTCCCAGCAATTGAGGCGCTATTGACCAATATACTAGTAATCTTTACTGGTACAATTGTGTTGACTTAATCGAGACATGCAAGCCCGGCTGTGATTAATAAATTGATACGCTATCAGCCCCAAGTCAATCATTCCTGGCCAATAACGTCTTGATTGCCCTGTACTGAGCCATCAGCAGAACTGAAAACTATATATTGCTTGAGCTCGCGGCCGTAAATCTTGAAGATTTAATACGAAGTAGGTTGCTAACGATTATTTTCTCGTCTATCATTTGACGTGATGGGGATATTGTTTTATGGTCTCTATTATGATGATAAATCTTTCACAGTGTTCTTCGTCAAATTGCCGTTAAGCAGTTTCCTTAAATAGCGTGCTTTGTGCAGCTTCAGAATCTTGTGTTCGATGATCTATTATTGAAAGGTTGCAAATTGCAAACATTGATGGGCAGTACTTTTGATAATCTTCCTATTACTACAAGCTAAGGTATGCAGTGGCACTAGACGTGTTATTTGCTTACACGTTTAGACTAATTATATTCTGACTCCTATTTTTTCGTATTTCAGTGCGCACGAACAAGCAGAGAGGCAAGGCCTTCTTCAGTGTTACCCCGTATTGATAGCCTCCACACTCAAGCAGGCGATCAGATTATTGTCATTAATTTCCCACTGACAGGAATAAGAGCGGCGGGATATATAGCTACGTAGGCAGGCATGCGAGATCCAGCATTCATTTTCTCATTTAGCATTAGGCTTAGCACGAAAAGATCAACATTAACGCAAGCGGTGGAAGATAGGGCTCTACATTCTTCAGAGTTCCATCAAATCGCGGGCTATTGATTGGTTTAATTCTGTGGATGATTAGATCTCAATTGCACAGAGCGTGTACAAGGCTGGAGGCGAGCTTGCTGTTGTCAAACGAACCCAGGGATAATTGAACCAGATGGAAGCCGCATAATTGGGGGACTGCATATCCCTTCTGCACTTAGAAAGGAAATTAACAAGAATTAAATTGTCTGAGGATCGGTATTAGTTTGGAACGCAGATAGAGCAATTAGCTGATGTGAGGACAGGGGCGAAAATATTCGACTTCGCGACTTTACTGAGCGCTGTTTGACAATTACTGAAATGGAAGGGAAAGAGTCGGTATCACAAAACTCGGCAAATGGCCCCATCATGTTTGCTATTCCACGGACATGGCATCCACATATTTATGATAAAGCTCCAAGAGTTCCCACGCGGCATTTAATAGCAGACATTTTGGGTTTTCGAGAAGAATATGGAACAGCACCATCGTCATTATCATCATCATCATCATCATCATCATCAACACTGAGGGCCGGTACCGTATCCATGGGCGGCATGAACATCGATGATGACAATGATGAGTTAACCAGCACCAAATGTTTGCCGAATGCAGGGGAATCAGGTGTTCCCTTTGACACTACCTGCTCAGAATCAGACGTCTCGGAAATCTCAGCGCCCTCCTCGTCATTGTCCAAGGCAATGTCCTTGTCTGGGAGCGTCGATGGGGGTGACAGCGACGGTCCCGTGGACTTGTCGGCGTCGTCAAGCAAGCGTAAACGAGGTAAGATATTCTTAATAGAGTTTCATGATTTTGAAATTGAAAGCATTGCTATTATTTATTGCTCGCATAACCAAACGCTTGTTACGTATAGGCTGGAAAGTCGAGTCAAATAAATGAGAAAAAATACATAATTCAATCCATCAATTTATCTCTGTAGTAAGAGTAAAATATGAAGATAACGATATAGGAAAAGAGAAAACGTGGAAGAATGACGGGGGTTAGTGACCTAAACGCTTCTGGTGACGGCAATGATCAGAAAATGAAAAATAAATTATTTCCAGAAAATTGAATTGTACAGAAGATGACAGAGACAATAGAGTCGCTGTCTAAAAAATGACAAAATTGCCACAGTTCCATTGCTGGCCTAACCTATTTGAGGAGAGAAACTGAGATTAGTTAGATTCTATTTCCAACTGTCAGTTTTAGTTTGTACATCATCCTAGTATAGATTATTGCGGTCGATAGGTCGAAATAAAGAAAACTGCCAGAAAACGCAAGAAGAATGAAGAAGAAGGTAGTGGCAATCAGTAATAAAAGCTTCATCTTTGCCCAGGGGAAAAATAATAGGTTTTATTAATCAATAAACAGAACGCCTCTGCGTTTGACGCTGTGTGGAAAATGGAAAAGCAATGATGAAAACTTCTTTGTCTCAGCTGCTTGAGTCCCCTTCAATCTACCTCTTAGCAGCCGCACCATCAGCGACTCGTTATTCATTTTGAGCACAAAACCTTCATCGGAATCGATGATCTAATAACTTAATATATACACTATCAATTAAGCAAGCCGTAAATGAGCCCATTAATAGCGAGTTTAATGGAGTCTCTGGGGCGCATAGTAGCGATATCAATAAGTCGTCGTGCAGTAGCAAAAGCATTGATCGTACAGTAAGATTGATGGCTTGTGGCACTCTAGAGCTGGAAACTTGTATTAAGATTTACAAAGATATCGATATGCTGGCTTTTATCATTACCGATATTAATTCATAGAGGAAATGTGATTGTTAACAGGCAAAGAAGGCAGCCGTTATGCGTGCAAAATTACACCAACGCTATTAATGGAATGGTGCATCAGGCAACTATTAAGCCTCGTAGATAAGTAGAATGGCTAAGCCAGCAACACAGTCGCTTAGTTAATTGCTTTGTGATTACGGCAGGAAAGCGGTATGCGACTAAGCGTTGGGCGCTGCGTATTAACAAATTACATGCATCAGCAATGCACGCTTGTCCCTGCTAAAATCCAATTAATCCCCCCTCGAAGCCTGTAAGGGATTGCGATTCGAAGAGGAAAATCGACATGGGATTATAAAGCTTATTAATACTCCAGCGTGTTACACTGCTAGAATATTCTATAAAATAACGTGCAATATCTACTAGTATAACCGGTGCAGAAGGGTATAGTTATGAAAGACAAGTTGTAATACAAATGAATGCACTGGTCCCAAGCACAAAAAAAATACGTAAGGTCATCTCTCCGTGTCTGCTAGTTTCTAGTTTTTTTCACGTTGGAAAGTTCACAAAACTGCTGAAAAGCCACACACGATGGAAGAAACACGTAGGATTAGGTTAGAGAAAATAATTAAGCTGGAATCTTCTCCCTCCTGCAGTTTCAACAAGGCCGTTGAATGTCATCATGCTGCAAGATATTGGACGATCTTTATGGCTTCTTTACTTCATTCCCGGGATTATTGCGAGGAACGTTTTTACACACTTGTAGGACCTTAGGAAAACCGCGCAGACATATCGATTTGAGTCGTTTCAATAACAGATAGCTCACGATGCAGTTAGAGCTTTTACTGTTATCCGGGAAGAGTGCTTAATAGTGCCTGAAATTGTCGTATTAACGGGCTGCCTAGAGTGCAATCGCCCTACTGCATGTTAATCAAACCACTTACACGAAAATCCACAGGCACGACTCTTTATTTGCTTCAGAGAATATATCATTAGCAACGTTGTCCCACTTTCTCACTTCAATCTGAAACATAATGAATTTTAAATATCTGTTAAAAAGGGTGTTGTTATAGAAGAAATTTACTATAGATGGTGTTAATTACTTCTCTTTATCTTAATTTTGGAAAAATTATTTTTCATGTTGGTAGTTTTGTTATTCAGCCTTTGGAAAAATTTTAATCATGCTATTATTTTTTATTATTGTCATATATATTTTGTTCATCATTTCATTCATATATTTAAAAAAATTATGTATAGAAACCTTAGCTTTCAGGTTGATTTTTTTCCCACTTTAGTTTTAATACTAAAATGCTAGGGTTTATATTTTAAGAAGCGTCTAATTTACAGTTGAGATAAATTAAGTAAGCGACGACCTCTTTTAATCTACAGATGTCCAAAGGAAAACAACCGTCGATTCGTGCTCTACTATCGACCATGGGATGAAACGGAAAATAGTTAATGAAGACAAATCTGAAGAGGAAAAAGATGACAAAGGAGACAAATCGAAAAAGAAGAAAGCGCGCACAACGTTCACTGGCAGACAGATATTCGAACTAGAAAAAAAATTTGAACAAAAGAAATATTTGTCCTCTACTGAAAGAACGGAAATGTCGGCATTGTTGAACGTTACTGAAACACAGGTAAGCAAATTTTTATTAAGAAGTGAAATGATATGGTAAGACGAAAAAATGTTTTGAAAACTTAAGTACACGCAGTATCTATATACACAAATACATAGATATCAAAATATTCGTTTCCATTTAGGGCGAAAGAGACTTCATTCCAATAAAGCACAGTAAAGGATTCGAGCAATGCTTTCATTACCGAGAGAGTTAATAGCCAATGCAGTCACATTTGCATAATTGACGAGTAAAACTGCGTTGAAAATAGAGGCAATAAAAACGTGTATATTATACAAGCTGTAAAGCCATCTGCAATGACTCATTATGGTGAATCAGTGGATGGACGGATGAGATCGATAACATCTGGAGAATTGTCCTGAGGTGCTAAGAAAAAGATAAAAATGTTGCTCATCAAGCTTATCTCTTACGGTCAGGTAGTTCTTTAATGAAAAAGAAAAGTGATATTTAGTGAAACCTAGCCATGGCCACTTGGCATATGATTGATGGCTGACGGTCTGGTAGAAACGGATGATCAGATCAGTGGAATAATTACCATCAAATGTGTTCCGTTAAGTAGCAGGGATTATGGGGGAAAACGTTTAAATAGGGGAATCGATCAGGGTGATTGTTTATAGACAGTTAATAGATATTTAGATAAACGAGAGGAGTTGTGTTAGTGGAAATTTCTGAGATTTTCAAATGGAGTTAACTGTTTTAACAAATAACGTCCTTTTAAGAGCTATATTTAACGAAGTGTGATATTGAAATTAAGGTTAAGGGTTTCTAAATTTTATTCTCATTAACGAAATATTATCGTTGTATTTATGCTTTTCTTTCTGTTATAACTAATGTCAGTTTATGAATTAAGTACTAGTACACTGTATATTCCCACATGACGTGGATAATTGATCTGACAAAAACGTGATAACATATGCTGTTATAGCTTTAAATTATTTTGGTTGCAGTCATTCAGAATATAATTCCCCGTCCTTCCCATAAAAAAGTGGGTGAGAAAAGTGAAACCACCCAGCTTGTATCAAAACGTGTGAACAGGTTTGTGCTAATTAAGATCCACGAGGCAGTGAAAAGTTAAACAGTCATAAAACACTTCTGAGTGAAAAGCAAGCTGGGGAGGTCTCCAGTTTTTAGCCACACATGATAATTGCTGAAAAATGATATGCGCTTAAACTTTGAACAGACCATTAAATGGGGCTCGTTACATCGATTCTAGTGTCGTGGTGATTGTTCATTGAATCAAATACCCATTAGAACACACTGAAAAGGATGGAAAAGTTAAATTTGCCCAAAAAGATCAAATGAAAGTTGTTAGACGGTAACATATAGTGTGGAACGAAAGATTAGATCGCCCTTTCAACATCATTAGACGTGTGTTCATCATAAACCACAGGGACTCAAGAGAAACATACAATGTAAAAAATTCATAAAACAGCATCGACAACATTGATAAAGTTTAGCCTTAAAAGACACTTTAACACTTAATATTGAAAGTTAAAGCGTGCCGAAAATAGATAATTCCATCCTTTATTCCATTTGCAGGTGAAAATATGGTTCCAGAACCGTCGCACCAAATGGAAGAAAGTAGAAAATCTGTCTGGGAATCAGGCCGCAGAAATAAAACGTCAAGAGGCAAACGTGGACCAGAAGAAACAAAGAGAGGAAAGAACACCAAAAAGAAATGAAAAAGAAACTATTCTTTCAAGTGGTTCGAGTGAGTATGAGGAGAGAGGTCTGCTTTCCACTAATAGTAAAGACGGCGTGAAAAAAGAGACAGTAAGTCAAGTAAGAAACTCTGCAGGGACAGATAAGGAAACTTTAGACGAGGAGAGCACAGGGACACAGCAGGGGTGTGAAGGAAATGTAAAAGAAAACTTTAGTCATACAAAACTATCGAAAAATAGTGACATGATAAATGAGACCATGACGGAAAATCCACCGCCTGCCGAAAAAATAATAGACTCCGAAACACATTCTGAAAATGGAGATTGTGAACAGAGATTGATTCCACTGGAAAAACGTGAATGTGAGGGCGAAGATCGCCTACGTTAATGACTGTTTGTTTTTACAAAAACTTGTTTATTTTTTGTTCTAAAACACAGAACTGTCAGTTTGGTTGTCTCAAAATGACGCTAGAGATTTCTTTATTTTCTCTCTAATAACTTCTGTCTTCTCACAACATTTAACGCTAGCATTTGATGAATGTACATTTGATCACTGTGACTAATCACTGGTCTTCAGTATTAATCATTAGAATCCTCCACGGGGAAACGACCTATCTTTGCTACTAAAGAAAGACAAGTAATGATTAGTAGTTGAGCGGTCCTGGTACAAGTACCGTTACTAATAAATGTGCTTTTTAGCTTCTTTAGCTGGCTCACTGTCTATTTACGATTGATCTTTGGTTACCTCGAAAGCTATATGAACTTAAGTACTAGAATTATTTGTCTGCAGTTCATGATCAAAGTCAGGAAACACGTATACTTGCAGCACTAATCGATATGCCCTTCTCCTTAGTTAATGGGACTTGTAACAGGTAAAGCGTATTAAATTGAAATTGACAGAATTTTTTTCTCTGTGCGGAAAAATTCATTTTCATCATCTCTGTCACGCGAGTGCACCAACGCAACAAGCATTTTTACATTTCTGCTGCTTTTTGCCTGCGTTTGCATCAAACCACAATCAACAGATCAGTTTTCCATTTATCAAGAAAGGAAATATTAGAAGGAATGCAATTCTGCGGCACAAACCAATTGTTTCTGTGTAGCATGTTAGATACAGTTTACCGACGTATACTACACATGACATTCCTGATGAGACTTGCTTCATATTCGTTAGCTGATGCTGCTGAAGGTTTGTAAATTTTACAATTTGGCACAGTTATTTTTCCTTATTATTCAACAACCTGCCGTCATGAAAACGGATTTTACTCGTCTAAAATTGATTGTTGTTACTGTACAATTTCAACCCAGCCGTCTCAACTAACACAGCTGCCTGGCGTTTCCCAGTCAAACATTGTCCTCGGTAATTACGATGACGTCTGTTACGTCTGGAATGGAAAACGTTCACGTACGGTCTCTAAGTCGTTTTCAAAAAATACTAGCGCGTAAAAAAGTTTTCCAAATGTATGGATGTAAAAACCACGCAAGACCGATACTAAGACGTTTTCAAGATGTTAAACGTTTAGATTTCAGAAATAAGGCGTCTGTAGTTGCGATTTGGAAGGTAGGTAAACGGTGTATCAACCAAACAGCTTGATCGGACAATTTTTCCAAAATTTATGCCTTTTTTTTTCAGAATATCCACCGTTATACAAATAAAATGAAAACCGTTTTTCCTTTTGTTTTCAAATTTTCAGAACTGATGAATATTCATAAAATACAGGTGGAGTTCGAAAATCACCTTGATCGGACAATTTTTCCCATTGTCTTGCCGTTTTTTAAACTTTTTTCAGCATTTTCTATCCACCGCTATACAAATAACATGAAATTCTTGCCGTTTTTGATTTAAAACGTGCAGGACTGGTGTACAAGTCAAGGTGGAAAATGATCTTGATCAGTTTAGTTTTGATGAAGTTATGCTTTTATATATATATATATATATATATATATATATATATATATATATATATATATATATATATATATATAATGGTTTTTCCCCAGATTTAATTCTTAGGCATGTTAACAGTCTCATTATTGAACTAATTACATGTGTAAAAGTGTTCTTTTGAATCTTAAGAATTTTGTTAGTTGATTATATAAAATTGATGGTTAATCTGTAATCGTGTTTTGTGTAATTAAGAATCAAAAATGGAAATTAACTCGTATCAGTGCAGTTTGTCCATTTCAGTCCTTCACTTTGTTCAGAATCTCAATATGAAACAAATTGGACATATAAAATTGTTCTATTAACATTTTTTCCATCTCAACAATTTTGTTAGTTGATCATATAAAAATAATAGTATGTTGATTATTTCGTATTATGTAAAAAAAAGTGCTGAAAATGAACATTTTTCCTGTTTATGTCTCTACATTTGACAGCTTTGCTGTGTTGTTTCTGTGGTGAACATTTTTCCTATTCGAGCAGATTTCACTCTCTGATCATGAACTGCTGTCAACTAAACACAACTATAAGCACTACAATTATTTGTCAAGGGAATCTCTTTGAAAGGCTAAGTTCAGAGTTTAACTCAGTCTTTGTTTGGTGGAACATCGTTATTATTGATTATCGCAGTTCATTGAGGATATCTGTGTGTTTTGTTGTGAATGTTTAACACAAACACATCAAAACATTGTAACTGTTGCAAGAACAATTGTAAGTACAGATTACCGCTTTCCGATCTCAATCTGTATTTTAGTCCTTCAACTGTTGTAGTTCTTAGATACATACACGTATGTTTGAAACACGTTCGGAATGGTGCCAGTAATAATATTTAATATCGGATCAGGTTTTTAAAACATGATTCCTTACATCTGTTGGATACATACTGGAACAATGTAATCAAGACGCCTCAGCACGCCCAGAGGACGACGCGGCGGAGTTCCACCCGTGCCCTCATTGCACGTTACAGGTATTTAGTAAGTATTTAAGACATCCGTAAAATCTTAATACGAAGATGCCTCCAAGACGTCTTTATGACTGCACAATGACTGGGTTTCTTAAATTGTTAAGCTGTCAGCTCGTGATACGAAAGTAATTTTCACTGGTCTGTCAGGAGTCATCAGCGTGTTGAGAACGGGCTCCACAGGCTCGTGGTGGTATTCCAACTTGAAAGTTTTCACAATCTTAAAACAGAAAACAAAAAGCGAATTATCGAAGATAATATGATCAATATTATTTTGTTAATTTAATGCAATGACTTTATAGTCAAAGAACGTGAATTTTACATGTCAGTGAGCCAGAGAGGAAAGAGCCAAAGAGTAAAATAAACAGTAAGTAACAGATAGCAACAAGAAAGACTTAGTTATTATTCTTTTTTGATGAGACGATGGTAAAAACTGCATTAATAGAAATTGTGAACTTTGGTCAATCATCACACCATCACCACATAAGGAGATGTTTATAGATTGACGAATAGTTTAGAATGGAAAGTTATGGAAAAACCAGAGAATCTGTATGATACATCATGATATTGAAATGTGACATGAGAAGATCAACGGTATTATTTAATGATTGTAAGATAAAGAATATACGAATAAACCTTTTGTACACCAAAAGAGTGTATGGTTTTTCCTGCCTGTTGCTACACGGTAAATTTACATTACCATATTAATGTATAAGCCATGTACGTGACATCGTTTACTTTTGATGAAAAGACTTAATGAAAAAAATTAATTTCAATACTTGTCGTACCTGGCTTTACCAAAAAATGATAACAAATAAATAAATAATTAAATAAATAAATAAATAAATAAACAGAATTATTCCATGACAAAGTAATAGTAGATTTGAGTACTGCAGGTGTTACCTTGGTGAGCACGATGTAGATTTCTTGCTCTGCCAGTCGTCTACCGATGCACATACGGGAACCGTGACCAAATTGCAGGCTTGGGATTGCCATGACAACCGGATCACGTGGTACAGCACGAAGCCAGCGTTCTGGTCTGTATTCCTCTGGATCTTTAAAGATTTTGGCATCCCGTCCCATGGGATATAGACTGGCTTGAACATGGGCCTAAAAAGAAAATTAAATTGCAAATCCGTCAGATGTGCTTTGAAATGAATAAAACAGATAATAGAGAGAGATTTCACTACAAATATGACAAAATGAAAATAAAATTAAACATACCCCCTTAGGAATAAGATAACCAGCCACTTCTACATCTTTTGGTAAAAATCTGCTCGTGGCAAAGGTGATGGGAAATAGCCTGTCAAAGCAAAAATCAACATTTGTGTAAAATAATAATGAATATGACAATTTAGGTTAACAATTCCATTGCTCATTTCAATTTCTACATTGCATGTAAGATTCAGTGATAATAAGCCCATGGAAAAAAAACAAAATTCAGCTAATTAGAATATCAAACACACACACACACACACACACACACACATGAAACTCCAACCCCATGGATATCTTTGTAACTATCTAGGGTCTAACTACTGGTAATAAACATCAGAATAACAACATTCATGCAGGACTCTTTATGTGGAAAGATAGAATCGTTCACCCTCAGGGTCATCCCCACCCCTGGTCGCAATATAAAACCCATCCATCTATAAATCCCCAAGTTGAAGGTTCCTCACTCTTTTTGTAGACAGCAAAATTACAAACGCATGGACGGAAAGACGGACGGACATAATTCCCGACTTCAGTTACGGAAGTGCGGGGATAAACATATTTGATAAACGTGACATTAATTATGCTTCTGAAAACGAAAACCGCGACCAGGCGCCAAAGTAACCCCATTTCCATCCAACATCTATCTGCAAAGTTCCTCAAACAGTTTCAGTAACTTGGAAAATGATTGTAAAATGTACTGAGGTTGCAATATGCTGCTCTACATCGGTTAATGTACAATGTAACTTGTTAGCCTTAGTGTTGTACTGCAGCACTAGTGTGCTGCCTTCTTGTGTCATATATGTAAGAAAAAAAACAATAATTGGAAAACATCAACTGACCTATAAGCCACTATTCAATGTCGTACAAAAACCCTCCAACGACACGCTTTCATTTTGTAGTATTAGGATTTTTTACTTTCAATAAACGTGCTTTTTTTCTACCTGAACGTTTCTTTAACGCAAGCCTTCAAGTAGGGCAGTTGTTGAAGTGTCTCGGCACCTATCTCCTCGCTGCCAGGAAGGACGTCACTCAACTCTTGGTATAGCTTTTCTTGGACAAGAGGGTTACATGCCAAGCAGTAGAGTGCAAATATGGTCGAGTTGGACACCGTTTCCACAGCAGCGTTCAGGAGATCAATCACATGAGCATTTGCTTCCGCTGGTGTTAAGGACGCCTGAGACAGGAGGTAGGTCAGTAATGCAGATTGGTGTGGCGTTTCTTGACGATCTGTTTCATCCCCAGCATGATCCTTCATGTCTTTTATTTTCTATAAATATTGTAAATATGGAGAATAGGTTTCAAACTAACTACACAAAATAACACCATGGAAACTTCTCAAGTTTACAAAAGTCGATTCATTTGCTCAAATCGGCCTACTCTAGCAAAAATGATAAGTGTCACCCCTATCGCAATTATGTGAATTGCTACAAGAGTACCCATACTGTGAATTTTACTGTTAAATAACAACTAGGCACCCGATCATCGTGTAAATAAGGGACGTGAGTAGTAGAAAAATGGTCTACCTAACGTAACCACAGCCAATTATTTCTTATTATACAGCTCCTAAGGAATACATGACTTTAATTGTCTGACTCGCCTCCTCAAGCAGCTAGAGGTTAATTAACTATCGCGTGCTGATTAAGCTGATTCCACTGCTTGCAATTTAACGAGAATCCGACCCAGCTAGTACGATGTGTGAATCTGAATGCGCTCTTAGTCCAATATTATGACATTTTACAGTCATTTAGGGCGTATTCCCATAGATTTTAGATCGATCTATCCCCGTGGGGAGTCTCACTAGATTGCTGTCAAATAATCCGGCTTAAATGTCCGTCCCGCCTACTACAAGCTGTAAGAGGGTAATTAACTTTCGTGCCCGCTCGGCTGACAGCTATTTAGCGTGAACCCCCAGGGAGTTAGGTCGATCTAGTTTGGATCGATCTAATCTCTGGGAATGGGGTCTTAGACCCCATTTCCAGAGATTAGATCGATCTACTTTAGACCAGGGCCGTAGCCTCCGGGGGGGCAGGGGGGGCAGCTGCCCCCCCTGGAATTTGGAATTTTACACACCACACCCTCCCCCCTCGGTAGCTTCGCCCCTTTGTGTCCGCTTACTGCCCCCCCTGGCATTTTGCTCAGGCTACGGCCCTGTAGACAGTAATCTAGTGAGACTCCCCGCGGGGATAGATCGATCTGAAAGCTCTGGGAATACAGCCTTAGTGTCTGGTTTATAAAAAAGATACTTACCATATTCACAAATTGTTGTCCGAGCTCTAGGACTTTGTCGGAGAAGTGTTCAAACTGCCTCCAAAGTTTGGTGGGATAGACTTTATATATAGGCAGGTTAAACAGCAAAGGTTGCATTGTCTTGAACGCGCCTTGGAGGTTTTTCAAAAAGTCTAAAGCATCTTTCGGTGGAGACGTACTAAGACATCCGATGCGCCTTTCGAAAAGAACCGTGCCAATAGCTGAAAATAAATTAAGAAATTCGTTAAAGATTAAAACTGATATTAAAAGCGTACAGTGTAGGATTTCCCCGTGGGAAACTCATACTGAACGCATTTTCTTGGAGTATACGGCATTTTCTCCCACTAACCAATCTTTGATCCTGGCACTCTCCTAACAATTTGAGAGATTAAAAGCGTTGATTAATAAAATTCCACCATTACTTCGAGCTCAATTCTCTTACTGACTTCCCGATTCAGCGACGGGTTAACGGGTGGAGAGGTTTGTCAGGTATAGATAAATTTGAATATTTTTGTGTTATTAATTCATGTCATTTATTTGTATAAATATGGTCGAAAAGTATTATTTGTCCTCAGAAAAATATCTACGTGTGTTTAAAATCCTACACTATGTCACGTACAGTGAAGTACTGAAAGGAAGAAAGAGTGTAACATACATTCAAGTGCCCATTTAAATATCTCGTGCTCAAGGTTCTCTACTTCTCCGGTCTCCTTGTCCTTCACCCTGTTTAAATGTTCAGCAAAATCTTGTGCCACCATGCTCATATCCTGACAATAGGCCAGTACTTCCCTCGGCGGCAGTATCTTCTTACTCATTATGGTGCGCATCTGGTGCCACTCCTCCCCTTGCCTGGAAAGTATATATATATATGTGTGCTATATTGACGTTATGGAAAAAATCTGAACAAAAGCTTAAACTTTTAGGATTTTCAATTGCAAAACAAAGACAAATGCGAACTTTGGTTATAGTCATTACAATAAAGGTATAAGAATTTTGAAGAAATATGCAAAATGAATGTAAATACAATATAAAAAGGTTATGTGTATCTATAGGTAAGTCTTTACGAGTTAACGAGTCCAAGTGAAATGCCTTTCTTCTTCCTGTAATGCGCTGCAGGCAGGAGTTCTATACGTTGAGGGCGTTTACCATCAACACGGATGACTTTTTGATATTCCCAAGGGTCTGTGATGATGACGTTTTCGTTCGTGGCGATCTTCTCTCTGAAAATTGGGCCGTACATCTGGGCTCGTTTTTCCTGTGCCTGTGAACATGTTTTTTTAGCTGAATGAACGATTATAACAAATGCGTAACAAATAATTGTGTGTCCCCCAAAGATTAATATATATATTTAACAAAGAACATGCCATTGACATTTCCATGACCGCTGCGAATACAAAATTTGGCATGCTGAAATCAAACAGCGGGTTTATATGATTATTATGTGCCCAATTCTCATTATTGATATCTTTCTCAAAACAGCTGATTACATTTTACAAGTTTTTCATAGATTTTATACATGTGCACATCCAGTTTAAGATACGCCCGCATGGTGGCGCAGCGATGGAGTGATGCAGTTCTGGGAAGCGTGTGAACACATGCAGGTTAATACAGTGCTCACATATTTTTAGCAGCTATTTATCAAGTCAAAATGCGCGTAACATACCTTGAACATTTTCTCAAAACCGAACCAGTCCTTTTTGAAATAATCAAACAATGTCCCCACCAAAGGTAACCCCGTTGGACCTGGGATGTCCGAAAATGGTTTAGTTTCATCAGGTGACTTTCTTGACAAAAACATGAATAGTGGGCACTGAAAAGTAAACAATAGCTTGAGCAAAAAATGGTTTCAACTGTTCTTTAAAACCTTTATCTGAAACATTTTACTTAATCCCTCTATCTGACACACTTTTATTAAAAATTTATACATATCATCTTTTTATTAAAAATTTATATCTGGCACACATCTGCCGGCGCGGTATCGTCTGAAAGTGATCTCTAGTCAACATGCCTCTAGTAAACATGCCTGATGGCCATAGAGCTCACTTCCACCTTACAGTGTACATGGACATTGTTGACATCCCAAGAAAAATCTGTTGGGCAGCTGACGTAGTTTTTGGCGCCCGTAGGGCTTAATAGCTACGCCTTACAGCAAATCGACGATAGACCAACATACATCGGGTTGCGAGCAGCTGACGTTGTTTTTCACACCTGTGCAACTCTCTTCTGTCTTACGGGTAGGCTAACATGTTCGTTGATATAGCCAAAATGGCGGGCTGCCTTACTGGACATATGGCTGAGACTGCATTCCCACAGATTTTTAAATCGATTTATCCCCCTGGGGAGTCTCACTAAATTGCTGTCAACTTGATCTGCTTAAATGTCTGTCACGCCTAGCAAAGCTATTAGGGGGTAATTATCTTTACCCTAGCTGATTCGGTAGGCGTAACAGACATTTAAGCCTCTTGAGCTGACAGAGTTTTAGCGTGAACCCCCATGGATCGATCAAAATCTGTGGGAATGCAGTGTAAGAAGTAATAGAATGGGGAGCAAATTTTTCTAAACCAGCAACATATTCAAGTGTTCACAAATACACCTTATGCCGCTGCTTCTAAATTGTTTTTGAAACCTCGGGTTTACTCGCCTCTATGTCTCGTTGGCCGCTTCTTGCGGACTTATTTCAATTTCGACTCTCATTAGCAGCGCTCTGGCAATGACGGAACAGCAACATCTTCAAGGCTACTTGTTTTTTCATGCACGAAGTGTTAGGGCTCAATGAGGCCGCTGCAGCTTTACTTCTGGCATTCTTTGTCCATGCGTTGACTTTATCAATTTGAGATTTTCCAAATTTTGCATTTTGTTGTCACCAAAGGTAGGCTAATAAAGTTTAAGACTTTTTCCTGTTCTGTTCATTATAAGGGTACCCAAGTGCCACAAAAATTCTGTTTTTGTCACCTTGCTTTTTGGTCAATTGACCATGTTTTTTCACCTTTTATATTTCTTAAATCTCGTTTATTGATACTACATTATCAGTATTGTAAATAAATCTAGTTAACATTTTATGTATTTTGAGTGCACGGAAAATATAATTTTCCAAGCAACCTAAAGGAATTACGTGTACGGATTTTCTACTGATGCATTTGCAAGCTCTGTAGTGATCCGATTATATTACACGCCTGTCATTTCCTTATTATTCATAAGGTAATCCGTGTAAGAGCACGGTGCCCCAGGTTTTTAACAAACTAATACGTACTTTACTGCGTAAACCTTCAAATCATATAGTGTAACACGAACAGTAACACACATTTTTATGTACAGACACAGATGTTTCTGTACATACAGGTGTGTCTGTACATACAGCTGTCATCTGCGTCTGTCGTCGCCGTCCCCGTCGTCGTCCCCGTCGTCGCCGTGCACTTTCATTGTGAAAAATTGTTTGGTCTTTTGCCCTCAAACTTATAGAACTGATGAATATTTATAAAATACAGGTCGAGTATCAGCTTGATCGGACAATTTTTCCAAAAGTTATGCCATTTTTTCGCTTTTTTCAGCATATTTTGTCCACCATTATACAAATTACATAAAAACCGTGTCGTATTTACATACACTTAAACTTACAGGACTGATTCATAGGACAAATGTTCAGTTCAAAATTAAAAAATTATCTTGATCAGTATAGATTTGATGAAGTTATGCTATTTTTTGTATATAAGTGGTTTTTCTTCTGATTTAATTCTTAGCCATGCTAAAAGTCTTATTATTGTACTAATTACATACGTAAAAGTGTTCTTTTGATATTTTCTACATCTAAACAATTTTGTAAGTTGATTATAGAAAAGCAATGGTAAATCTGCCATTGTGTATTGTGTGATAAAGAATCAAAAATGAAAATAAACTCACATCTGTGCAGTTTGCCAGATTCAAACCTTCACTATGTTCAGAATCATACCCTTACCTTCTCTCCAGACAAATTGTCCGTTCTCTTGTCTGTGGCAGGATTACTCTTTGACACAGCTTCAGATGAAGATTTCACCGGGCACTGGCTACCTGTTACCTTCAGCAGACTACGCTGTTTTCGAAACACACTCATAGTCGGTATCACTTTGGCTAGGTAACTTCAGTAATTCACTAATGTATCGGCTATAATGAAAAATATATTATTGCGATTTCTACCGACGGGTTACACTTATGTCACAAAGTTTTAATAAATCCGTTCACTTCATAAAACAGTGTCTTATATTACGAGTATCCCTCTAAACAATGACATACCGTATGTAGTAAGCGGCCTGATTAGAGTGTTTATTGTCTGCAGTAGAAGTATATATGTGCCTTTTCCCTACTGTAAGAAAGGTTATCCACAGGTTAGCAGTGGCTTTTTTTCAGCCTCAGGTACAGCAGAGTAAGTCGTTCCAACGCGTGCGTCATGTGAATAAGCCGTCCGGCGACATGCGTCAATCTCTCGTCACTTTAATCTTTAAAGCTACGTGCCCTACAGAGCAATCTGCGCGGCGGTTCTGAACGTTAATAGGGGTTTTATCATATAATGGACAACGAAACAAGAAATGAAAGCAGGAAATTAGGATATCGGTTACGCAATGATTTTGCATTGTAATTCTTCCAACGTACATTTACTACACGTAGCAGGGGCGGATTGAGGCTGTCTTCTGGGTCTTCTGGAAGACGGTCAGATTTTCAAGTTTACATTGAGGGGTATCTAATTTTTACTGTCGGAAGACGGTCAAAAATGGAGGATGGATCAACTAAGATAATTTGGAAGACTGTCAGAAAATATCTCTGGATCCGCCCCTGCGTAGTATAAAATCTTGGGTATGCTTAAACTGTGTACCCCACGCAGAGAAGAAAAAAAAACATAGTCTTAAGATATTTGTTTATCTGTAAATGGGAGAAAAATTACTGTGTTTCTTGACAGGGAAAAATTTGACAATATTTTCTTTGTCTCTTTTTTTTTTCTAATAAACATTTAGTTTACATTCCCGTAGTTCAGGAAACACGCCTGGGATGTTATGCAAAATGGTCACTTATTTAAAATTTTGCTCAGTAATGTATGTAAGAAATAAAGTAAAAGAACAAAATAAAATTATCAAATAAAAGAACTAGATAATATAATATAATATAATATAATATAATATAATATAATATAATATAATATTCAATGCACTAGTATTTATGTACTAGTATTTGTATTTGAAAACCCAATAAGAAGAAGAAATACATCTTGCATTGTTTGACAAAACTTTCAGCGTCATTGGGACCATTCATTATGAGAAGAACCGAGTGCTAGCTGGGCCACGAACCAAATATGGCGGGCCTACATGAAAGGAAGACGGCTTATCCCTGTAATGGTCTCTCCGCCTCTCACACGCCTCCCCACGCGTCGTCCCTGCAGGGGCACCATAATTAAATCTCGGCTTAATTCAACCGGTCGAGGGACGACGCGTGGGGAGCCGTGTGAGAGGCGGAGACCATTACAGGATTAGGCTATCCTTTCATGTAGGTCCGCCATATTTAGGTCGTGGCCTAGCTAGCACTTGGCTCTTCCCATTCTGAACGGTCCCATTAGCTCTCGAAGATAGCTACCACCTGAGGGGTGCATTTTGTTTTCACTTGCTTTCTAGTCAAATGAAGTAGAACAGCACACATGTACGTATTTTCATCATACGACTCTTACAAAGTGATAAGGTCGATTCTAATCTGAAACGTTTATTTTTATGTATTATTTATTTGAAATTCGAACAAAAACATGTTTGTGAAATATATATATATTCATCAGAGGGTCATTTCATTTTGCGGTGGTTTGGATTAATTTGGAAATAACATTCCATATTAAATGTCAAGACTGTATATAGCTTTAACTGGTTCTTAATTGAACCTTTTTCTTGTCCCATTAACATGAATATCACTTGCACTGGAACAGTCCCATGTTTAATCTCTACTTGATCAAGTATCCGACATGTGATGCATGCTGATCAAGTATTACTTATTTCCAAACCATGTTACAGTGGCGGATGTAGGGTGGGGGGTCGGGAGGTCCTGACCCCCCCCCCCCCCCCCCCCCACTTCGATTTCTGAAAGAAATCACACCACTGGTCCTCTCTTGAAATTAGAATTTTGACCATCTAAATCATAGTACTAAACTGCACCAAATAGCACCATTCCCCCTCTAAAATACCAAAAATTTTCGGGGCCCTTCAGCAGGCTCCGAACCCACGCCAAGGGGGCGATGGTCGGCTTCGCATCCGAGGCCTGTCGTTCCGGGCCCCGAACCCCACGCCAATTGGGGGGGGGGGGGGGGG